GATGTTGAGGCCACTGCCTCCATCCATCAGTACCTTGGTGAGCTGCTTCATGCTGACGATAGGGTCGACCACGAGCGGGTACCTGCCTAGGTGTGTGACGCTGTTCGGGTGGTCGAATCAGTCGAAGGTTATGGGAGACCCTGACCATTTGAGGAAAGTGGGCTTGGCGGGCTTGGCTTCGTAGACCTCCCGGTGCGCGAGCTTCTATCGGCGCTTGGAGCCGTATGCCTCTGGCCCACCGAAGATCATGAGGTAGCCATCCGGCGATGGAAAGCCGCCATCCTTCTCTCCGGTGTCGTCGGCTTCTGCCTCGGGCTTCTTCTTCTACTCCCATTTCTTGGAGCCACCGGTGAAGAAGCGCTTCATGAGGGAGCAGTCCTTGTACATGTGTTTGACGGGGAAGGCATGGTTCGGGCATGGCCCCTCGAGCAGCTTGTCAAAGTGATCAGGGGTGCCCTCGGCCCTCGCACGACCGGCTTTTTGCTCGGTGGCGGCCACGAGCGAGCCCCCGCGCCCTTTCCGGTTCTTCTTCTTATTGGAACGATCGAAGGGGCCTTCATTGGCGTCCTCATGCCGCTTTGCTTTGCCTTTGGAGCGATCGAAAACTGCTCCAACCGCCTCCTCGCCGGAAGCGTGGCTGGTCACGATGTCGAGGAGTTCCTTGGTAGTCTGTGGGCCCTTACGTCCCAACTTGTGGACTAGGGACTCGCAGGTGGTCCCTGATAGGAAGGCTCCGGTGAAGTCGGTATCGGCGACGTTGGGGAGCTCATTGCACTGCCGGGAGAAGCATCGGATGTACTTGCGGAGAGTCTCTCCCGACTTTTGTCGGCAGTTCTTTAAGTCCGAGGGGTTTCTAGGGCACGCGTAGGTGCCCTGGAAGTTCCCCACAAAGATTTGTTTTAGGTCCGCCCAACTCTGAACGTAATTGGGCGAAAGGTGCTCCAGCCATGTTCGCGTCGAATTGGCAAGGAACAGGGGGAGATTGCGGACGACAAAGTCGTCATTGACCGCACTGCCGGCCCGGCAGGCGAGCCGGTAATCCTCAAGCCACAGGCCGGGATTTGTTTCTTTGGAGTATTTCAGGACGTTAGTCGACGGGCGGTATCAGGGCGGGAGTGCCGCCCTGAGGATATGCCAACCAAAAGCCTGGGGCCCCATCGGCTCGGGGCTATGACTTCGGTCCTTCTCGTGGTCATATCATCCGCCCCATCAAGGGTGGTAACCACGGCTGGCCCCCTCCCCCGCATCGTTGCGAGTACGCCGGCGGGTGTCGAGGGTGTTGCGCGCATCACGGTTGCGGCCGAGGCGCTCCTGCACTAGAACCGTGATGCATGGCCTGCCGCTGTGTGGCGCTTGGTGGACCGATGCATCCCTGTCGAGACAACGAGCTCTCAGCTTGCTGCGCAGCCACACTCTCGAGCAGCGTTCGAACCTCACAGTGGGCCCATCGATCCTCAAGCGTCGTGGGCTTCGAAAGCCCCCTGAGCAAGGCTACTGCAGCAGCGATATTCTGGCTTGCTTGGGTGAAGTGCAAGAGCGCTTGATCATCCTCGATGATCCTCTGGTTTACGTCACGGGCCATGGCGCGTGCGCGTCCTCCTCCGTGGCGCTCGATCTCGTGATCGAGCTCTGCGTGTTCCTGCTCGAGCTGGAGTCGCGCTTCCTCAAGCTCTAGGTGTCGGGCCTTCAACTGCTTGACCCGCAGGCGGGGTGGGGCTCCCGCATCCCCCTCGACCTCGTCGTCGAGGTTGTTGGTTGGGGTAGCCTCCTCCTCGTGGATGCTCTTGACATGTCCCTCAGGGATACCTGTCATGAAGCATTCACGAAAGGGATGATGGCTCCCCCTGCTGGAGTCAGAGCCAGAGAGCGACTCTGGTTCCTCTATGAGGAGGTCATAGAAAGACTACGTGACGTGTTCGATCACCCCCACGAACTCGTTGCTCGCGGGGGATGGAATCATGCGTTGCGCCACAAGGTGCCCGACAGTCTCTGCGGTGTTGCGGAGACCAAACAGGAGCATTGTCGGGGCGCTCCGGATGAGATATTCCGGGGAGAGCGGCTCTCCCCCGGTAAGCTGCGCCATGACATTGGTGAATGAGAAGGTGAGGTGGCGTAGGTCCTCCTGGGACGGTTGGGGTCCTAGGAAGACGCCGAGATGACGCTCCAACCTTTCGTAGTTGAAGCCGAGGAGCTGGTCGCTTTCGGGGGCGCGGGCCTCCGGTGCGTGCAGCTGCAGCTCCTCAAGCGCCTCGGTGATCGCATCGAGGCTGGTGGAGTGGAAGGGTTGAACGATGACGGGCGCCCCGCCAGCTCTCCCTCTGTCGTGATGATGAAGTCCAGGTCCCCAAAGCGCACGTGTGTGCCCGGGACCCAGCTAATGCCGTGACTAGCCATCCGAAGCCTAGTGTTGATGTCGAAACGCACAAAAAGCCCCTACCTGGCGCGCCAACTTTTGATGTTTCAAGTAAGCACCGGCTAGTAAATTTGTATATCGTCTGACCCCGATGGTGTGCTAGGAGGACATAAGGATTATACTGGTTCAGGCCGAATGTCCCTACGTCCAGTTTCGGGCTGCTCGTGTTACCAGCACTAAGTTTATAGTAGGGGTTACAAACGGGCGAGAGAGGGAGGAGTTCCCAAGTCTCTGGTGTGATGCGGTGTGTTTGTTCGATGATTCGATGTGTGATGAACCGATCCCTTTAGCGGGACGCCCTGCTTTCCCTTTTATAGGCCAAGGGAAAGCAGGGGTTACAGCCAAAGGGAAGAGGGAAAAAGAAAAGAGAAATAAGGCTCCCGGAGATGTGCCATCCTCCTCTTTGCGTGGGTCCCGCTGACCTTGTAGATCGTGGTGGCCGCGGCGTCGTACCGGGGTCCTGTTAGCTGCTGCAGCATACGTGCGGGCGTCGTGCGTCGTTCTTGTCTCCCATCCCATCCGAGTGAACGAAATGGTCAGGGGGTCCCCTGACATAAGCCATGCGGGAGGGGGCTAGCGGCAGAGTGCCAGTCAACTGACGCCGGTTGACTAACGTTGGACGGTGGTCAAGCAGGGAGTTGGCAACACAGTGCTGGCCTGTTGACGCGATGGGCGACGTGAGTTTCCCAGCATGGCCCGATACGACCACCAGTCGCATAAGGGCGTGTCTGAGATGTGCTCCCGGGCGTGCGCCTCTATGCCGTAGTGGTTGAAGCGGTTCGAGTCCTACCCTGGGACCACTGTTTTGGTCCGGTAGCAGATCCGATCCCCAAGGACCGGGCGAGGCAGAAATCTCTCCCTGGGAGCCAGACAAGGCGGGATCCGACCCCCGGGGGTCGGACGAGGCGGGCCCCTCCCCGTGAGACCAGACGAGGCGTGTCCCAGACCCTGGGGGTCAGACGATGCGGAAACCTCGTCCTCGGCGTCGGACGAGGCGTGGCCCGGCCCCTGGGGGTCGGACGAAGCGGAAACCTCGTCCTTGGCGTCGGATGAGGCGTGGCCCAGCCCTTGGGGGTCGGTCGTGGCGGAAACCTCGCCCTCAGAGTCGGACGAGGCCGTAGTTGCGTCTTTAACCATCGGATGAGGCGACCTGACACTCTTTAATCCTTTGGCTCGGATACCCGTGTATAGATATCCGACACATGTATTTGTAGTGAATGGGTTCATCCAAACAGAAACAGGCCCTAAGTGGGTTCTGCTACAAACCAACAACAGAACCATGATTAATTGGCATGGGCTGGACAAAGAAAAATGGCGATAGAGCTATTAAGCAAAATATCTCAGGTACCTTTCACTGTCTCCTTGTCATGCTGGATACAGCGAAGGAATGGTGTCATTTTGTATCTAGCAGCATGGAACTACTATCCTATTTTAAATTTAAACTTTGTTAGTTTGTTCTTCTCCAAGGTATGGATACAATAAGCTGTTATTGACCAAGTTGGCAGACCAGTTCTTCCAACTAGCACAACAATATCTTGTTGATGGCATGGCAGTTAGAATAACCATCTTATTTGGGATATAGAACTTTCCCAAAAAATCTTTAAAAAGTTGTCTTCCTAGTAAAGGTCTAACCAAGGATGCACCATTTTATTTACATACATGGACGCACAGGCACAATAACCACATGGTGGTTCACCATCCTTCTTTACTCTCTGGCAAATGGACCTAATGCTTTTGTTTTATAGGTTCTCTGACTGAGCAATGTAGTCATCCAGTGGACATTCGCCCTTTTTATATGCCAGCCTGCTAGAATATACAATTCGTCAAAGATGATGCATCACACATACACAGATTAGCATATATTTATATAAATGCTGTGTTTAAGTTTTATAAAGTTCTAAGGTTTTCAAAATCTCTTATAAATTATCACATATGGACATTGCTGGAAGTGTTGAAGCTGAGTTGAGCTTGCAATATTAACATATATTATATAAATATAGTGTTTTAGTAGTTTTATAAAGTTCTAAGGTTTTCAAAATCTCTTGTAAATTATCACATATTAATATTGCTGGAAGTGTTGAAGTTGAGTTGAGCTTGAATTCTTTATCAGCGGACCACTTCCAATCCATCTATAAATTGAGATGATAGGTAGAGTGCTCCGAAAGATTTAAATTGTGAAAGCTAAACACCATATTTAGTTCCTATAAAATTTCAGTGTATCCAAATTATCAGTTCCAATCCATCGAGTTTGGTTCTTTTATTCCAGCTATGTAGAAAATAATAGGATATTACATCCATGTCATTTTTCATTTATGCATATGCACAAATTTGTGATCACTAGAAGTAGACGGTGAAATGGCTGGCTGCAGTCATTACACCTCTTAGCACACGTTAAATCTGAATTGCAAGACATGTATGAAATGCTAGGTTAACGTATAGTGGTATTTTACATATTTGTGGAAGAATACATTTGTAACTGTTTGATTCCACTTTATCTCTACTGTTCTACAAAGCTTTGTAGGTCAACAAAAATGATCGGTTTTTTTTGTTCTTTTTCCACTTATTAACAGTGTGTTCAGCTTTCGAGCAAATGAAGATTTCCTCGAGAATGACATCAGTATAAAGCCAGATCTTGATGCCCTGGGTGCACTTGGTGATGTTGGGTGGTACTGCATCCGTGCGATCCTGTGGGCTGTTGACTATGAGTTGCCGAAGACTGTGATCGCACTGCGTGACCCTGTAAAGAACCAAGCTGGCGTGCTTCTTGCGTGCGGCGCGACATTGTACTGGGCAGATGGCAAGACTGCCACCTTCAGCTGCTCTTTCCTCACCAATGTCACCATGGATATCACCTTAGTTGGCACGAATGGAACTATCCATGTCACTGACTTTGTCATCCCACACGAAGAAAGGCCGGCGGAGTTCCACGTGGCTTCGAAGTCAAGCTTTGCTGAGCTCGACATCGGGTGGGATCTGCCAAGCAAGCATGTCGTGGCGACGGACCTGCCACAGGAAGCCCTTATGGTCCAGGAATTCGCGAGGCTTGTGCAGGGCATCCGGGATGCTGGGGGCAAGCCTGAGGGGAAGACGCAGCTGGCTTTGGATGCTGTGAAAGCCTCGATTGACAAAGGGTCTGAGCCAGTTGAGGTGGCTAGCTAAATGCAACAAACGAATCACTTCCTGACTAGAGGTTTCTACACCATGGCATGGTTTGTGCTTGCTTGACATATTTACACGTACTGTACTTCTGTATTTTATGAAACCAGTACACCACTATTTGTAACAATTTGAAGAGGTGTCGTCAAACTCGGAAGAAGGTTGAAATGTATAAGTGATTATATTTCTACTGGTTGTTCTAGTATATGGGAAAGCATCAAGTAATCCATCGATGGTTGCCCGGCCAAAGGAGGGCAATACAGTGGGAAGTTCTGAGGTTAAAAAATAAACAATATTGAGGGCTTCAGTTGTGATGTTCTCGGACATCTTGCACCTGTTCGCTTGATCGTTTATATAGCTTATAAGTTGACTAGTGCTGTTTTGTTATGAGAAAAAAATATTATATCATGAATGATAAGCATTGGACAGGTTTAAGTTGTGCAGCATTTCCACTTCCCATCATGACATGTCAGTGATGACGATGGAAGGCAGGTTTACTGCAACTACTGCAAGAACCGACCGAGTGACGTTTGTTCCAGAAACACTATGACTGCCCCGTTCGCTGGTCTGAATTTTGGCTGAAACTAGCTGAAAAATACTGTTCCGGCTGAATTGTTGTGAGAGAAAAACACTGTTCCGGTTGAAAAAACAAGCCGAACAAGCCAAATTTAAGACAAGCGAACAAGCCAGCGTTCTATAACTGAGCGCTTGTTTAGTCGTAGGAATTTGAATTTTGGCTACTGTAGCACGTTTGTTTTTATTTAATAAATAATATTCAAATATGGACTAATTAGGCTCAAAACGTTCGTCTCGTAATTTCCCACCAAACTGTGCAATTAGTTTATCTTTTTATCTACATTTAATGCTCCATGCATAGGCCGCAAACATTCGATGTGACAGGTACTGTAGCAACTTTTTGGAAGTTGGGGTGGAACTAAACACGCTCTGAGATCACTCATCAAAACAGAGGTAGCATGCTTGAGGTCTTGATTAGATTGACCAGATTCGATTTCGCTTCTGCGGGTCCAAGCCAGACGACGAGTTTTGCATCTCCACAGCCAGGTCCAAGAACTAGCCTAGACAGCCAGGGAACCCAACCTGTCCTGATTATCTTGAACCCGAAAGCTGAACTCGACACCCCGGACCACACATACACTGACGCAGACGATCACTCCACGCACCGAACCGAGACCAACCGACGCCGGCCGCCGCCGCGACCGTCAATGTCGTCCTCTGCAGCGCCAGTGCAGCCGCCGCCACCACGCCCGGTGCGCTTCGGCATCCTGGGCTGCGCTGACATCGCGCGTAAGATCTCGCGCGCAATGCGGATGCTCCCTCCGGGCGCCGCCACCGTTGCCGCCGTAGGCAGCCGCTCCGAGGACAAGGCCCGCCGCTTCGTCGCCGAAATCGGCTTCCCCGCGGCGCGCGTCCACGGCTCCTACGAGTCCCTCCTAGGGGACCCGGACGTGGAGGCCGTGTACCTCCCACTCCCCACCAGTCTCCACGTGCCCTGGGCCACAGCCGTCGCCGCGCGTGGCAAGCATCTGCTCCTCGAGAAGCCCACCGCGCTCTGCGCCGCCGAGCTCGACGCCATCCTCGGCGCCTGCGACGCCTCCGGGATCCAGTTCATGGACACCACCATGTGGATCCACAACCCGCGCACCGCCAAGATGCGGGAGATCGTCAGCGACAAGGATGCCTTCGGCGACATCAGAGTGGTGAGATCTTGGAATTGCTTCTTCGTTGCTAAAGTTCGGTGGAATCTGGAAATGCCTAATGTCTATCGCCACTATGGCAACAAATGACTAGAAATAGATTTCTAGTACTAGAAAAGAAAAACAAAATTTGATCCTTTACCTTATTTATTTATTATACCAGTACGAAAGACCAAAAATGGATTCTGAGAGGAAGAAAGAAAAGGCTTATCTTGATGACTGATGGTGCTTGCTTATCAACTAAAATTGTCGTGTTGCCATAATTCTGTCTATTGATGGCTGAGATCTATCAGAAGTCGTAGGAACAGAGGTAAAACTGTCTGAAGGTGTGTGCTTGGGGGTTCAGTGTCACTGTAGTCTTGGGTTTGGATGCCTATGATATATTGACAGAAATGGAAATATTCAAGCTTTGTTGAGGTTGAAAGTTTTCTCATTGAACAAACATTCTTTTTTTGACACAATGAACCACCATTGTTCTTAACACAATGAATCACCACCATTCATAATGAAGCATTGAAACTATGGAAGATATTTTGTTCTGTTGTAGCTTAACCAGTTTGAACTTTTTTCACCATGTTTCAACTGCATGATTTGACTTGATCTGATTTTGTAATGTGTGAATTGATGGATAGAGTTTGGCTATATCATTCCAGCTTAATTTGAGCCTTAAAAAATAGTACCATAAATGTGATTCTTGTTTTTTCTCCCACATGGAAAACTTTCTCAGAACCATTAAATACGAGCATAGACATTGTTGGTTCTGCACATACTAGTATTGTAGTATGTGATTTGCTAAGTGCATTTGAAATGCTGTAGGTTAACATGTTCTTCGTAGCCTTAATAATAATGTACTAAAGAGTGATGCAATGTTTGTTTCCACTTCGTATGGACTATTTGCAGAATTTTATAGGTTAATAAAGACCATGCCTTTTCTTTTTCCACTGCAGATAAACAGTATGTGCGGCTTTCGGGCATCCGAAGAATTCCTCAAGAATGACATCAGGGTAAAGCCAGACCTTGATGCCTTGGGTGTTCTCGGTGATGTTGGATGGTACTGCATCCGTTCAATCTTGTGGGCTGTTGACTATGAGATGCCCGAGACCGTGATCGCTCACCGTCATCCTGTCAAGAACCAAGCTGGCGTGCTTCTTGCTTGTGGTGCAACATTGTACTGGGCAGATGGCAAGACTGCAAATTTCAACTGCTCATTTCTTACTAACCTCGCTTTTGACGTCACCTTATATGGCACAAACGGTACTCTCCATGTCACTGATTTGGTCATTCCGTATGAAGAAAATTCTGCGGAGTTCAGTGTGGCCTCAAAGTCAAACTTTATCAAACCCACCATCGGATGGGATCCATTGCCAAGGAAGCATGTTGTTACTACAGATCTGCCACAGGAGGCGCTCATGGTCCAGGAATTCACAAGGCTTGTGCAGAACATCCGGGACGCTGGGGGCAGGCCTGAGGGTAAGTGGCCGGCTATCACCCAGAAGACGCAGTTGGTATTGGATGCCGTGAAAGCTTCTATTGACAAGGGATCTGAACCAATTGAGGTTGCCAGCTAAATACTACAGATGGCAGCCCGTGCTGCTAAGTTTGTACTTAATGTCTTAATGGCTTCTACTCGCATTTGCTGTCCCGTAACTGAAACTAGTAATTGTAATAATCTGAAGGAATCTGGTCAAATTGAGGAGAACATTACAATCTACCGAATCAGTGATTTGTCACGAATAGATTGTGTCATAGATCAGGGTTGGTCGAAGCCCTGATGGGCGTGGTTCGATACACTGTTGATTGTTCAGGAAAAGGGGGTTCCTGTATCATACATATTTGTGTGCTTGCTACTGTATACAAGCAATGGTAGACTGGTAGTTGAGCTCAAGCATGCAAAAATGAATGAAGGTCATAATATTGAGGCTTTTTTTAAAAAAACAAATAACATTGAGGCTGATGCTTCCATGTTTCCATAAAGTTTCTGGACATGCTGGGCTGGGCAACATTAGAACTGAGTACCAACAGAAGCGGCTCACTAGCGGTAGAGACTAGCTTTGTTGCTGTTTCCATAAGAAGTGGATGCTGTGCCTGCTCAAAAGACTGATGGTTGTCCCAACACCTGTTCCGTCCCGGCGAGGCAGCTGATGGTGTGCTGTGATTCTGTGTTACCACTATTCAACCGTCGGAGCCGGACGATGACACAAACGTCTCCAGGAGCTCAAGCAGGCTTGTCCGCTCGGGTCAGCAGGATCCGGAAGCCCAACCCGCTTGTATCTGGCCCAATGTGGCATTATTAGTTCATACTTAAGGGAGAGAAAATTTACCAATTGTAATTTTGCTCAGCAATATATAGCTTATTTGGGACACATCATTAGTGGCTCTGGTGTTTCTACAGACCCAAGCAAAATTCAAGCTATCCAGGATTGGCCTACGCCAACCAATGTTAAGGAACAAAGGGGGGGTTCTTGGTCTGGCAGGTTACTATAGAAAATTTATCAGTCACTTTGCCATCATTGCAAAACCCTTAGGCCCTGTTTGGGTGTACCGTATTCTTTTTCAAGTGTAAAGTGTTTCCAACTGTAATTTGTTGTGCACAAAGATGCTACTGTTTTCTTTTACACTTGTAAAATGCTGTTTGGGTAAAAAGCTTCCACCTGTAATTTGTACATCTCAAAAGCACGGTTGCATGGCAGTTGCAGGTTGCATACCAAGTTGCAGTTGCGACATGTCTCGCCACACAGATTAAAATACACAATTCCCATACATGTCTCAACAGTTAACTTGAACATGGATTAAAATACACAATTTCTTAACCATAAGAACACACTTCAGATATAGGAGCATATCTTCAGTAAACAGGCATGTCATTGCTCAGTTCAGAATCAAGATTATTAGTGACCATAACCTATCCAAGGAAGTACATGGTTGCTTCAGAAAAAACGACACCTCAGATCAGTTCATAATTTTTGCAAGTCTGAACCAGCAAAAGTCAACAATAAACAAAACTTTGCAAAGGATGAGTAATGCATTAATCCACTGTTACAGAATAAAAACAACATAGATAGATGTTGATCTGAGAATAGTACTTAAGTAGAACTTCTCCAAAGATCACAAGGCCATAATCTTCTAAGATCTTCACATGTTTGCAGCCACTAACCTGCAATACAGAGTTGCAAATTTAAGCGTGAAGCATTGTTAAAAATTGCAATGAAATGTGAAATTTCAGAGAGATTGCAGTACATGCAAATGTATCTACTAGCATTCATAGTTCAGAGAAGGATAGTATATAAATAGATAATCCGGTGGCATAAATTAGAATGATGTACGAAAATAAAACATAGGAGATGAATGGACTATATGAGTCCTACTATATACCACATGTTCTAAGGAGAGCACAAGGGAGGGAACAGAGAACTAGGGATGAACACAGTCGAAAAACCTCTCAACCGTTTTCTACTTTTACATTTGGATACGAAAACCAAAGCGAAAGCGATAAAGCCAGACACGAAAACGAGCGCGAACTTACAGAATATTGAGAATTTCGAAAACGAACCAAATCGAGCGGAATTATGTCGAACACGGTCGGTATACGAAAAATCAATACGGAATACCGACCTGTATCATCAAGTTGTAACCCCTATGTTTTCCCTCATGCTAAAATTCACTAAAAATTGGAATTTTTAAATTTAACAACAATTTAAAACTTATTTTCTGCAAAACTATTTTAAACCTTGCATTAAAATTCACCATATGCATTTTCATGTGTTGATATGCTTTCTCGAATTTATTTGTGACACCAAAAATATTTACCTTGAATCTCTAACCCAAATCTCTTCTTAGAATTTAAATCAAATCACTTCAAATCCTCGTCCTTGATTTTCTGGAAATTACAAAAATTGTCACAAAAATACAAAATCTATTTTGGGCTACTTTCTCGTCCCTACACTCCCTCAATTCACGCTTGGCCCAACAGACCACTTGCCCGATGGGCTGCTCAGCATGGCACGCAGCGACCTCTCCCTCTTGCATGGAAGCTGCAAGCGCCAGCTGCCAGGCGCTCCCTTCTCAATTCATTTAGTACCACCTCGCTTAGATACACGGGAGCAAGGGAGCCAATGGCCTATATAAAAACATCCAGGCGCACCCTCCCAGCCACGCATAGAGTTCCTTGCTGGGGCTATATTGAGCCAAATTCGGTTGATTTTGAAAACGGTATATTCTGAATGAAATATAGAAAAGTAGAAAACGGTTGGAAAATGCTTAAACCGTTTTTTATCCGATTTTGAATTTGGTTTTCTGTATTTCGAACTGGATTTGAATTTATCTGAAATGCCGGATTTGATCGGATGGATGTTTTCATCCTTGCTAGTACAGATGATACTTGTACTGCAATCTCTCTGAAATTTCACATGCAAATGAGAAATTGTTACCATCACAGCCTAGCAACATGATAGCAGAGGGATCACAGTAACCAAGCATGTAGCAATCGTAATCCGAATGTGTTAGCATCTCACATCCATTTCTACTTGTTGCAAACACACTGTCCAGCCCAGCGAGCTGATACTTGTGTGCAGGATGGGCAGAGATAAAGATGGAGAAGGAACACATCAAGATGGCCATGCTGAGGCAAGAACAAACATTCAGGTAAACCATGTTGCCAGAACTTCTTGCACCCGTGTTCAGCAAAAAAAGATTTAACATGTCAAATTCCTCTCCATTCCGTGTAGGGTGAGGTTGAAGAACGTGAGGGGACAGGGGAGGATACCTGATTTGAATTTGATATCTGTCGTCGAGGCTCAACGATTCAGGCGCTGAGGACGTGGATTCGCTCGCGCTCGCCTCGGTGCTCTCTCGCCGCAATCAGCTTGGGGCCGTCGTCGTTGCCGCCGCCGCCGCCGCAGTCACCGCAACGAACCCTCGCCTCCGTCCGGAGTAGCCAGCGAAGGGAGATCGAGGACCCTCTTCTTCTCACCGGCAATGACATGCCTGTGCACTAATAAGAAGACTCGAATAATCTTGGTTCTGAAGTACATGCCTGTGCACTAATAATCTTGCTCAGTTCAGCTGGAGGCCGCCGCCGCTGATGCCGCGAGGAACCCTCGCTCGGCCGCGTCGGGTGAAGCCAGCGAAGGGAGACGGAGATGTCCTGTCGTGTTTTTTCTCGGGCCGGAGGTGCCATATTTTTTTTCGGTCGGTTTTGGCCAAAAACGGATGTAAAAAAAAAAAAAAAATCAGCTCACCGGACTTCCAAACGACATTTCTTGAGTTGTGTCGGAAAAGTTTTTGGGCCTGTAATTTACAGTGGTTTTGGCCCTAAAACTAGGCTTCCAAACAAGGCCTAACTGCATTGTCGTGTAAGGATACTCCATTCTCTTGGACTGCTATTCACACTGGTGCCTTCCAACTTCTGGAGAATGCTCTCGGTTCCTCCCCCTGCCTGGCATTAACTGATTTCTCTGTGCCTTTCCGTACTGAGACTCATGCTTGTGCTGTGGGTGTTGGGGCTGTTTTGCTTCAAAATGGTCTATCCTTTGGCATATATTAGTAAGGCTCTGGCGTATATATATAGTAAAGCATGATTCAAAATTTAAATAGTTTATACATATTTCATATGCATTGATCGTTAACTTTTTTATATCAAATTTTGCTATTTACAAGTTTAAACATGTACCTCTAACTTTAGCATCGGTCCTTTCCTTGCCATTTCCTTTTGACTCCATCTTTATATTTAATAAACTTCACTATTTCAGGGCCTCACCGTGCGCGTGCGGCCGTGATCCAGCAAGCTAAGGAGGCCAGCAGCAGCCGAGCAGGAGTCGTGGACCGGTGGACGGCACCAAGGTCTACGCCTCTATGAAAGCCCATAGGCTGTGTCAACACAAAGCCACAGCCCATAAGGACAGGCCCAGGTAACGGCTCGTGGAGTTGAGTCGTATACTCGTACTCGTACTCGTACTCGTCTTCTTCCTCAGGCCTCAACGCTGCGTTGTCTTCGACTCACTGCTCGTGAACTTGTTTCCAGCGTTCATACCAACTGACTAGCAGCAGGGAGCGATTTGCACCGGGGATTCGCGGAGGAGTCAAGGTACGGAGAACGCCCTACCGGGTCCTTCGATCACGATATAAGAACGTGTTATTACAAAATGCCATTATTTTTATTGTGTTTAGGAACAATGGTGATGGGGTGGATACACCATGTACAAGACTGATCTTGGAGTGGATGCTCAACAAAACCAAACATTCAGTTTGTTGGTAGCTCGACACTATTTTATTAGGAAGACTATAGCTCTTTTTTCATTCAGAGTGTGATCGAGGTATATGGGTATTTAATGAACTTTCAAATGAATTTAGTTTCACGTCAATATCATGGTGGCAGGACCTCCAAATTATCATGACATGTTCCTATTGTTTCTATCAGTTGGTGAGGTGTTGCCTTAGCCTGTAATCACCCTTTGGACCCTAAATCAAGTTAAAGCATGCTCAAACCAAGTCTAAAACACCACAAAGGAAGCCCAACGGGCAACATGGGCGTCCAAGCTAAGTTGGAAGCCCAATCGGTCGCATTAAGACT